TTGAAAAAAACAAAAGAAAATGATAAAAACTTTAAAAAATAAAATCCTTCGAGATGTAGTTATATTACTACATCTACTAGTTAGGAAAATTAGAAAACTTAAATTTGGACATGTTTTGCAAAAAATGTCATGAAAAAGTAAAACGGCTATAACTTTTGCATACGATGTCGAAAAAACCCGGATAATATATCAAAATGTTCAGCACGAAAATCCGCATCCGATTTTGACCGTCTATGGCCTGTTTGCAAATTTTTAGAATCCTCAAATTCTAAAAGGAAAAAAAGATATGCTCAAATTTCAGTTTTTTTTAATTTTGGTTAAATCTGGTCAAACTATGGTCAAGCTACTTATTCAAGAAGTATTAGTGTTACTACATAATTATTCAAGAATATTGGTGTTACTAAATAATTATTTCATTTTTTTTTGAATTTTGGTCAAATCTGGTCAAACTATGGTCAAACTACTTATTCAAGAAATATTAGTGTTACTAAATAATTATTGTTTTTTAGAATAATAGTTTCAAACTCAAATAGTGAAACGTGTGACTTCATGCTCAAGCTAAACTCCTGAGGGTTAATAGGATTGACATCTTACTATTGTCAGGAAAACAACAAGTGCAGACTTGGAAACGAGGGGTAATAGAACCCGGAAGTTAAGCATGCTCAGGCTGGAGTAGTGAGAGGATGGGTGACCGGTGGGGAAGTTAGATGATTTGGAATGATGAGGGGTGATTAGAGATTAGAGGTTAAATTGAGCAGTGATGAGGGGTGATTAGAGATTAAATTGTAAAATAATTCAGAAATTTGAAAATATGAAAAAAAATCAAAAAAATCGTAAAATTTTCTTTAGTCCTACCGACCCTTTAGTCCCGGTTGCGGGACAAATGGCCCTTTTTCTACTAGTGAAAGTTGGTTGGGCTTCTAGAATATGCTTGGTAGGGGTAGCTTATTCCATCTTATTCTAGAAGCCAACAAAACAACTGGCCCTAAGCCTCTAAGAAATTCAAATACCAAAAGGCATTGGAAACAAAAACCTCCGAGGTACTAGACAAAAAATTAACTCATTTTCGCGAAGGGTGGAACATGCTAAGAAGAACTAGAGAAAATGACCGTCAGACTTCCGAGGTCGACATAGTAGTTCTCATGAGAAATCGGTGCGGAATTGGCTAAGTCTCTGTTGGGAAGAAGTGACAGATGGATTGGGTTGAATAATTCACAGAGCTTCTAGAAAGAAGTATGTGCAATTGGAAAAATGTGTTAATGATTTTCCTTAGCTCTATGGAAAGAGACCCATTAGTCTTTTTGCACGTTCCCTTTTTTCCTTCTTTTGCCTTTGTAGTTTCATTTAAAGTCTTCTTGTTCTCATAGATAGTTTCCATGTATAATTCTTTTTTTCCTTTCTTTTCTAAACCTTATACTGCATTATTTAAAATTAATGAAATGCACGCAACAGAATTCTGCAGTATTTTTTAAAAACAAGTATAAGATGGATTTGTATTTGGAGTACTGGGCCTATACTAAGACGTTGAACTGAAGCAAATGAAGAGGCGATCGAAAGTGCTGGAGAAAATGCTTGGAGGTGCGTGATCTAACAAAGATGGTTTCATAGGATGACAACTCGATGGTACAAGAGAAAAAAATGGCGGTTTTTAAGTGAACAAAGGACAGGGTGCACTTAGACAAAAAAACACCCATTCCTCAAATGATCAGTGGTACCAGGTAGAAATACTCAGAACTGCCAAAGATGGTGAAAAGTGAGGAATTTGAGTAGGAGTTAAAAACCTGGGAATTTTGGTTGAGGATCTTGATTTGGAGTTCGCCCAAGATACTTTCCTTGTCCCCCTCTTGACATTATGGTTGTCCTTAAACTCATGGTGAATTTTGGATTCACCAATAGCCTATAAAGATGCAAACTATGAGTTGAAGGATCCTCTTATTTGAATTGCCATTAATTGCTACAACCCAACAGGGGTATAAGATGCACTCTGAATCTCCCCCTTTTTGATGATCGATGACAACACAATTAGATATAGAACCAAATGATTAAACATGTGAAAGTTTAGGTACTTATTATATATATTTTTCGAGCTCCTTTGTTTGTGAGCACTATTATAGTTTGCTTTCGGAATGCAAGTATTATTAGATAGTGTGGGCACAACAAGCATATGCCACATTCCATGCGATGGATTGTGTGTACAAAAGATAAAGATGGGAACGACCATGTGTTAAAAACTAAGGCACATCTTTGGCGATCAGGATAATTGAAACACTAGAAATAACATGACCTAAGTGGTCGTTGTTCCACAATGGTACATCTGTGGCAGGCGATTCTGGATTTTTTTAGCAAATACCCATCTGATTTTATGAAGGAATAGTTACAATATCATGCGGCATCACTAACCACATCAAGGTATAAAGCATGTTTGGCCAAATTATGGCCTTCGTAATTGTTGTTTTACATGGACATAGCTGCATTCATCAAACTCCAAAGCTTTGGCATTGATCTCAGGCAAAACCTATTCGGCGCCGCCTAAAGGC